GCACTTTCTCTATACTTCTGCTTTAAAATGAAATAGGTAATCAAAATCCACATTTAGATTTTATTTGTAAATTTAATAAACAAATTCGATACAAACCCACCTTTTTGAACGTCCATAAAAATCATCCTTATCAATACTACTGGAAGCTGTTTCTTTATTTTCCATATCGTTTGTGGAACTGGAACATTGAATTAATAAAAAAAAAGAAAAAAGGCATGCTATCAATATTATGTAATATGCTACGAGTATGCATTATATTTTTGATTAAATTTAATTTTCGTACAATGAACATAACCTATAGATATGTTTGACTTTAAATGTAAGCTTAATATACGTCAGTGTTACCATATACTCAATTATTTCACACTCTTACATATAAAACTATGGGCAAGATTTATATTATATGAAACATGGACGTATATCTTTATTTATACGTCCATGATATGAAATGAAAATTTAAAATTGAAAAATACATATATAATTAAACAAAAACGTGAAAAATACATATATAATTAAAAGCATTAAAATTATACCTATAAATATTATAAAATAAAATTCTTGCATTATTAAATATCTTGCATTTCTTCATTTAAAAATACTTATATAATAAAAACCATTAAAATTATGCTTAAGGTAAAAATTAATAGTTTACGAAACTTTAAAAACTACAGAATAAAGTAAAGTTAAATGAAAATAAAAAAAATAGATCAAACAAAAGAATACACTATATATTTAGCTATATTTAAAGTAAAAAATACTATTTTATGAATGCTTTTTAATATGAATTCAAAAATTGTGGCTTCTCATAACAAAACATTATATAAAAATTAATGGGAAAATCACAGTAGTTGGCTGTATACTATCGTTTAAAAAACTTATACAGAAGTAAAAAACTTCACATTTGTATTTAGATATATACCTAAATACAAATGTGAAGTATTTTACTTCTCTATAAGTTTTTTAAAACATTATATATAATTTCGTCAAAGTATCTTTCTATTTTAAAAACTCCTATACTTTATACAAAAAATGTGGCAACTTCGATGCCAAGGTTATGTTCATTGTACTCAAATTCAATTTAGCCTTATAATTATTATACTCTGTATGGTAAATTACATAGAAATTCATTATAGTTACTTTGGTTCTGGTGATTTATGGTAAATATTTATTGGAACAGTTCCTTTCCTCAAAATAACCCGTCCACTTGGCTGTATAATTAGATCATGCTTTTTAAAGTGTTCTGAGCAGATCGTAGCATTTTTTGATATGTGTTCTTTGTTTAAGCCAAACACAGACAACCACATATCGAACAGCAGTTGATTCTTTACTGGGAACCTGCATATATTTCATTGAAATTAATATATTTATAGCAATTATAGTGTAGATTAGAAAAAATAAATAAATGTATTTATAATACTACAAAATTAAACTTCAATTCATGTCAAGCATTAAGTAATATCACATCCCTGTACTACGCCCATGTACATAATTTCGATGTTTATAGTACTTACAAATGAAATGACAGTTCTGGATGTAAATATGAAGATTTCTTGCATACAACACAGTAACGCACCATTATTACACTTAACTATAAACTATTCTTCAATTCTAATTTAAAATATATTAACAAATTCACTAAAATATCACAAAAAGGAAATTATCAACTTAAACGTAAACAATAACAACGCCATCTTCTTTTTCGCCAAATCGCTAGGATTGGTTGATATTACCAATGATGCCAAGTTTTACAAAAGTTAAGATTATCAGAATATATTTTCTTTTAATAAATTAAAAAATTAATTTTTTTCTTTTAATTCCTTGGTTGCGGAATGAGTATATCTAAAAATAGTTTATACTAAGTAGATAATACATTTTTACTTATAGATTAAAAATAAATTATACTAAAAATCGAAAATTATTTCGAAGATTGACTCGGAAAAAAAAATAATATGACAACGTCAAATTAGGGATTTGTGCCTATGACTGTGAATATCTCGTGACTTCAAGTAAATATGTAAATAGACCGGTCCATCTTTATTTATACGTCCATGATATAAATATATTTATTTATAACTTAACAGTTCGGTACTCTCTTATCAACTAAACTAACTCATAACATCATGACATATATATACCAAAAAGTATTATTCTCGAATCTTCTGGGGTAGTCCCACCTTTAATTCGTTGTTTGACAGATGGCGCTCATACATCGCGAAGGTTCTGGAAGCTCGAAATGAAGCCGTTTAGATATGCAACCGTTACATGGGCCATGCCGAATGTATGTTCGTAACAATATTGACATTTTGAAACAAGAATGTAGGGCAATTTCACCTGACACATTTGAACTAGTACAGCAAGAGTTTAGAAATAGGATGCATTACTGTCAGGAAGTAGATGGAGCACATTTTGAACACTTACTAAGAATTGAACTGAATATTATAAGACTGAATTTTTTCAATACCTTTCAAACGAGCTATCAATTGCCTTAAGGTCACATTTAAAATTATGCCACAGTGATGCTGGAACGTCATCTCTCTCTATTACGTCACCTGGTATGACTAGTTGAGAAGCCTACGTCTGTTTATTACTTTCCTTTAAATTTCATTGTTATAACAATAACCGTTCAAAAGATACGAGGGATATATATATATATATATATATATATATATATATATATATATATATATATATATATATATATATATATTCAACCTAGAGCTAAGATTAATACTATTATAAAAATTAATATTAAGCTCACCAGTCTTCCGGGTTGAACCGCGTTGATATCCATTGGGCCGAGCTTTCGACATCCTCTCTGATGTCTTCTTCAGGGCTTCCGAGGTCTCAGTCTCTCGAGGCCCCAGACACTACTAAACTCACTGTCACTTTACTTTCACTACTTTTTAATATTAATTTTTATAATAGTATTAAGCTTAGCTCTAGGTTTAATTGTATTAACCGCGAAAATATTTCCGACATTTTTAACGACATTTTTAAGCCTTTATTTTTGGTTATGTGTTCCATTGGGATTATTTTAACATTTTTCAATTGGAAATGGTACAAAAAATGAATAATCTATCTAAATACGAACGAGTATAGCGGTATATAATATATATATATATATATATATATATATATATATATATATATATATATATATATATATATATATATATATATAATAAATGTATATTATCAGGCTTTTTGGTCAGAAAATAAAACGATTTTTTTCTCGTAAACTCAATATTTCGCCATTTGGTTTATGGCTTTTTTCAAGAGCGCACTAAAAAATTATTTATTGATAGAATAAAAAAAATAACATAACATAAAAGAACTTACAGATGTAATCGTTCAAACAACGTACCACAAACTACTGAAGCCTGATAATATACATTTATTTTAATTATTTGATGGTCGATAACGAAAAACTAACTATATATATATATATATATATATATATATATATATATATATATATATATATATATATATATATATATATATAGTTAGAAGACCCTGATGGTTTCCAGGGCAACAACTAACACCAACCGTGGTAGCTACCCGCTACCTTTCCCCAGGTAGCTTAACTTCCTCCGTGGTTGGTGTTAGTTGTTGCCCTGGAAACCATCAGGGTCTTCTAACTCTAATACCACAAATTGGTTACATTGCTCCTGTAGTGATCCTTTCCCAAGTTAAGATGGTCCTTTTCTAACTTGGCTGCACCGTACTGAAGACGACCAATAGTCAGAAATACGTATATACGGTTGCCTTCCATCGATATACCATTTTTGGTTTTCTGTTTTGCGAGACATGCCATTACTTTTTACTTTTATTATTCACTCACATTATCCTTTTCCATATGTATGTATATGTATATATATATATATATATATATATATATATATATATATATATATATATATATCTAGTTCCATTTCTACTTGTGGAGTATTGGGCGCTTATGCGTTTCTTGGTCAAAAATGTGCTGACTGGCCAGGTCAAAGCAAGATAGCACATAAAAGCTTATGAATTTGAGTCCAAAACTGCTTTACAAGTTGAATAATGGATACAAAATAAATATCTTTGAAAGGCTTTTAATATATTTTTTATTATTTTTTCATAATTACAATAATTTATATAACTTGTTTTTAATATTAACTTAAATTTCTTGTATGGAAAGTAGTGTTTGCTTTTTTGGCATCGGAATGGCTTTGGTAGGGAATGCTAAATTGGTAAATTTGCCAATATTTTATTGAATATTGTTATAATAGTTAAATACTGCCTTTGCAATATCAGAAACACGTAATCTTCATACACGATTTTATTACCCATAAATAAATCCAGTATAGTTCATTCAACCACAAATATATGTACGACTGTTAATGGTATTCGGACACCTACAAATTCATTTAATCGGGTCGAGCTACTAAAAGCAAATTATATATGTTAATATGAGTGAACAGTCATAGAGTACTCTTAAGTTCTCCATAATATAGTTAAGTTGGACACCGATCTTCTCGTAGTGGTGACGGGACGAAGTGTCAAAGGTCTAACATCCTCGGACATCTCGTCCTGGTACCTGAGTGCATCAGAGGTGTCTGTAAGCAGAAATTTTTCTTCTCTTTAAAGATGTAATAAAAAGTTCTCTATAGAATGATTACTAATTTGAATTGATACCATTTCCAATTAAGGTATAGGAAATCATCATTTCATGTGATATTCATAATCTCATGTGAATAATTGCAATTTTCATTAACCAAATGCTTTTATCGTAACATTTCTTTTAATTATATACATATGCATTAAAATACATATATAAATAATGAAACCGCTATGAAATATTTTAAAGAATATTTTTGTGTCCAAAAGACTCAACAAACCTATAAGCTTTTGTGATTAATCACGGAGAAAACTTTTCTGTACATAAAAATCTGTAAATTTCTGTTTTCCTTCTAATATAGAACAATATATTTATTGCATCTCTACATTTAATTTTATAGGCATGACATCAGAACAAGCCCACGAACTGGAAACTCATTCCATAAGCAAACATCCCGATGACTACGAGAACGCTTCATCTTTCATAGAAAAATTGGGCGCCAACACAGACACTTTACTACAGAATTTCTTCGAAAAATGGGGCACCTTCTGTGCCGAACGTCCGTGGTTGATCCTCTTTTTGGGGGCTTGTTTAGTCATGGGACTAGGTCACGGGATCAAATATCTTAGGGTGAGTAAATGATAAGTATAGAAGTATTAAAAACATATCTTTAGAATGAAAATGCTTCAATGACCTCGTTTTTTTTTCAGATTATCACTGATCCAGTAGAACTTTGGGCTTCACCTTCATCCCGCAGCCGTATAGAAAGAGAATTCTTTGACAGCCACTTCGAGCCCTTCTACCGTACAGAGCAAGTGATCATTCGAGCTGTCAATCTCTCCAGAGTATACCATAACACCTCAGACGGCGTTCTAGTTTTCGGTCCGGCTTTCAACCCAAATTTCTTGAAATCAGTGTTGGATCTACAGGAAAGAATACAGTCGATTGGGGAAGGAACATCGTACAGCTTCGACAAGATATGTTTCGCGCCTTTGAGGAAAGAAGGCCAGAAAGATACCGAGGTTACTGAGTGTGTGGTTCAAAGCATTTGGGGTTATTATCAAAACAGTATAGATATTTTTGAAGAAGATGGAACAGATCCTCTTGGTTATCAAACCAACTATTTGGATAGATTCGTAAAATGTGCTGGGTAAGAACAATTTTTAGTATATGAGGTGAGGGTAAGGAATTGTAACATGTTTTCATTGTGTCATATTCTCTACTTATCTTATGTGCTGTTTGTTTTTATATTTAGCATTTATTTTCGTGTCTATGTTTCCGAATACATTTATATATACATATAAGGTCCTTTTAATTCTAGAATATATCTTATATCTTTTACCAACCATTGTATATTTTGTTTTTTTTTTATCCTTTTTCATTTATGGTTTTTATTGTTTTAATATTTGCTCTTTTATTATTTAGAAATCCATACGACCCTGTCGATTGCCTTGCTCCATATGGAGGTCCAGTCGATCCAGCCATTGCAATGGGAGGTTTCCTGAGACCTGGCGAAAGTCTAGCCAGACATCCAGACTATAAGAACGCTACCACAGTCATTCTAACATTTATCGTTAATAACTACCATAACAAAAGTTTATTGGCTCCAGCGATGAGCTGGGAACAAGATTATGTTGCCTTTATGAAGAATTGGACTGCTACTCAGAAACCTTTTTACATGGATATCGCCTTTACCTCGGAACGTTCGATTGAAGATGAACTTGATAGAGAAAGTCAATCAGATGTTGTTACTATTCTTATATCTTACATGATTATGTTTGCATACATAGCTATATCTCTTGGACAAGTTAATACTTGCTCTAGGCTTCTGATCGACAGCAAAGTTACTTTAGGTAAGCAATTGGATTAGTTTAAATCTTCATATTTAGAAGTGACAAAATAATTAATGCAATAAGCCAAATATTACCGTTGACATTAATGAATAGTAATCGTATTTTTCAGGTCTTGGTGGTGTATTGATAGTACTAGCCTCAGTAATATCATCTGTTGGTTTATTTGCCTTCATCGGTACCCCAGCTACTCTTATTATCATAGAAGTAATTCCCTTCTTAGTTCTAGCGGTAGGAGTCGACAATATCTTCATTCTAGTACAAACTCATCAAAGAGGTGTTAAGAAATCGAATGAAACACACGCTCAACATATCGGTAGAACTCTAGGACAAGTTGGTCCATCGATGCTGTTGACCAGCGTCTCGGAAAGTTGCTGCTTTTTCCTGGGAAGTTTGTCTGATATGCCAGCTGTCAAAGCTTTTGCATTGTATGCTGGTATGGCTTTGATGTTCGATTTCTTGCTTCAGATCACTTGTTTTGTCAGTTTGATGGCCTTGGATATTGCTAGACAGTCTGCAAACAGGTAATAATTTAATGCATTAGATACTTATTTTGAGAGTTTTTAATAAAATCATAATCATTATAAAATTTATCCCCTTAGAAGATTTTTTATGAGTATTCTTTTGATTTTGTAGATTTGATATATTCTGCTTCATCAGAGGCTCGAAGAAAAACGAACCGTCCTCCTCTAACGGGCAAGAAGGCCTTCTGTACTCCTTCTTTAAATATATTTACGTACCGAGCTTAATGAACAAGCCAGTTAGATGTGCCGTGATGATTATATTCTTCGGCTGGTTATGTTCTTCGATAGCTGTAGCTCCACATATAGAAATAGGTTTGGATCAAGAGTTGTCCATGCCAGAAGACAGCTTTGTGTTGAAATATTTCAGATCATTAAAGGATTATTTGAGTATAGGTAGGTATTGTATGTATCCATAAGTCCACGAATAGCTGTGTCAATAATATAATTTATTTTTGGTAATATTCCTCTAATTTTTTTAGTTTACTACGGTGAAAAGTATATATTGAACTGTTTTTATTAATAGAATTTATTAACTTTATCTATTATAAAAGGTTCTAATACTTAGTTTATTAAAGTCTTTATTAATTTAAATAGTCTTACAATAATTTATTTACACTGTTTACACGATTCTAATTTATATACTACACTTTCGCGTTACAATTCAAACTCGATACTTTGTTCTCTAATGATGCGATGTCACCAGAAACATTCGAAGTATCGCCAGAAACTTTGTTCTCTAATGATGCGATATCACCAGAAAGTTTCGAAATCGACGAGATGACAGTAGCATATTTGTCTTCAAATATATAAGTTTCTGGGTCCAATCCCTCTTCCTTCAAAGCGTTCTTTAGTCGTTATACTATCAGCCTTTTTTTCCGGTAGAAGCTAATATTCTGTCCTCGAGATGTCTTCTTAAATTCGTACTTGGGTTTAGTAGTCAATATTGGCCTTTAAGTAAAACTCTTTTAGGTTTGTCAAGCTTTCGAGTTTATTGTACTCTTTTTCAAAACGTACTAAAAAAGAAATATATATATATATATATATATATATATATATATATATATATATATATATATATATATCTCCAATGGAGAACCATCTCTAAATGAAGCCAAATGTACGTTTAAAATTTTTGTAAATCTTCGTTTCTGCGAATATTATTTTTTGCAAAGTTTTTGTGTTCTTTGTTTCTGTTTAGTTTTTTTTAAGTTAGTTCTAAATTTATGAGTAAACTTAAGTACATATACAGTAACATCTTTAATACTACAGATTGAGTTAGAACTGATGAAGCTTTAGAAGTATAAAGCGAAACGTCTTCTATAAACTTATGGAGTAGTTGACTTCTGTTTTTTATTTTGCCAACCTGAATGATCGAATAAACCTCTGAATTCACTAGTTGAATACTTTATTTATATAAATTGACGGTCGTAGTTTTTGGAGTCCATTCGAATACGGACGGTGACCTGTGTTGACCCCTCTCGAATAGGATGAAACGCCAGACAGGTTTTTTAGCGGAACCTACTAGAAAATACTTGTTACAATAATAAAATGTTTACAAGTTAAATATGAGTCATATTTATCATAACAATATCATAATGGTGTTTTATTAAATATGATGTTCCTAATTATTTTTCTTTCGTTCAGGGCCCCCAGTGTACTTTGTTGTAAAAAGCGGACTCAACTATAGTGATGTTGATGCTCAAAATCTGGTGTGTGCTGGAAGGTACTGCAAGGAAAATTCCTTGGTTACCCAACTATACAGTGCTAGCAAAATTCCAGAAACCAGTTACATCGCAAGACCTTCTTCGAGTTGGGTTGATGACTATTTTGATTGGGCTGATTCCAAGCCGTGTTGTAAGGCCAAGAAGACTGATCATAGTTTCTGTCCGCACGATGATTTTGGTAAGTTCTATATTATGGTATCATAATTAAGTAACAGAAAGCGGCAAAGTCAGTTTATTCGACTACATGGTTATTGTGTTTGTAGGTTGTCAATCCTGTAACATAAAATTCGGCGGTAAAGAGCACCGCCCACTTCCTGAAGAATTCAGTCGCTACGTTTCATTCTTTCTGCGCGACAATCCTACTAATACTTGTCCAAAAGGAGGTCATGCAGCATATGGTCAAGGAGTGAACTACAACACAAACACCACAACCAAATTGTCCACAGTAGGAGCCTCCTATTTTATGACTTACCACACCATTTTGAAGACCTCCGAAGATTATTATGAGAGCATGAGGATGGCGAGAAAATTAGCTGATAACTTGACGAAAACTATCGGTGTGGAGGTTTTCCCTTATTCGGTGTTTTATGTGTTCTATGAGCAGTATTTGACGATGTGGCCTGATACGTTATTTAGTTTAGGTAACTTTCACTGATTTTAAATTATCTAAAGAAAATTTGTTAAAATTTTTAAAACTATTATCAAAAATTTTTCATGTATTTATACATTAAGAATTATTTACATTATTATTTATTTGGATACAAAAAGATCATTTAAGTAAGTTCAATGAGTGAAACTATTTGATAATTACATGATTTACATCAGGCTAGGGTATAACAGAATTTTAAAAAATATTCAAAATAACTGTAATAAACTAGCAAAAAACTAATCATATAATTCTTATTTTTAGGTGTCAGTGTTTTAGCAATATGTATCGTAACTTTTCTCTTGATGGGTCTAGATATATTCTCCAGTATTGTAGTAATAATTACGATATCCATGATCATAGTGAACTTAGGAGGGCTCATGTACTGGTGGCATATCACCCTCAATGCAGTATCTCTAGTCAATTTAGTAATGGCAGTAGGAATTTCAGTAGAATTTTGTTCGCATTTGGTCCACAGCTTCTCGATGTCGTTGAAACCTACCAGAGTCGAAAGAGCTGCAGAAGCTTTGGCAACGATGGGTAGTTCCATCTTTTCGGGGATCACTCTAACGAAGTTTGGCGGTATTATCGTTCTTTACTTCGCCAAATCGCAGATCTTCCAAGTCTTCTATTTCAGGATGTACTTGGGAATCGTCTTATTCGGAGCTGCTCACGGGCTCATCTTCTTACCAGTTTTACTTAGTTTTATAGGTATGTATACTACTTATGTCAAGGTTGAATTGTTTTGCACTATGATCTAACTTGGTATTTGTACCATTTTTAATATAGCCATATAAAAATCATGTAGTCATATACCATACAAAGTTTTAGGTATACCACCCCGAACTAAGTTTTACCTGTAATACGAACGAAAAGATTATATATTTTCGGTTACGTGGAGTGACTGTTTATCTATAAAGCCATTGGTTACACAATGGATCTACTTAAATGTGATCACGTACACTACTACACTACTACTACTAGATTATGTAAGCTTGTGAGTTAAAAGATCATCCACGCAAGTAATACAAAAGACACAAGGGGTTGTGTGAGCACAATTGGGGACGATATATCAAAATAGACTAGGAAGGCATAACAAATAAACTATCAGAAATAAGTGTAACCGAAAGATCTGATTGTATGGATATCGCCAAATTTACTGGGAGAGAATGTACCTAATGTTTCACCTAAAAACTTGTAAGCAACCCGCATAAACTGTTTATAGCCTGACAGCTGGGTACCTTTCTGTATGCATGGAAGGGTGGATTGGGTGGAAGGGTAAATAAAAGGTTATATAAAGTCGGTGATTAAAAATTATTGTCGCAATAAAACAATCCTTAAAGTGGCGGATGAAATTAATATTCCTAAAACTAGTGTGGAATATAATTTAGCATTATTAGGAAATATGAAGTATCTTAGATGAAAGATGAAAAAGGTAAAAGTCCTGGTTGTCCAAAACTAGTTTATAGGAATAGTACAATATTTGTAAAAGTTTGCAAATCAGGTCAAACAAATACTCTAAGGCAAAGTGGATTAACTGAAACTGGATTACTGGAAACTGGATTAATTCTATCAACTAGTTGTAGTATTGATTTTTATCTAATTCATACTGGGTCAAATGGCTCGTTATAAATGTCACATGGGCTGGTCTATTATATTATAGCCTTATAGTCTGATACAACCATTTGGTCCCATATATCAGTTCCCGTGAAATGGACATGTGTTAGACAAAAACAGTTCGGTACTGTACTATAATTCAAAATCAGTAGAAAATAGTTCATATTTTCATTGCTTGTGCTTTTGGTAATCATGTACTTTTGTTTTCATACAGGATCGCCCATGAACAAAGAGAAATTGGCCAACCACCGCAGCCTTAATGGCGACCATTTCCAGGAGACACATTTCGGCAGAGTAAGAATATATAAATAGCTAAATAAATATTTTATGAACTTAGTTTGTTTTTAAGAAGAAAGTCATTTTTGTTACTAAATATTCAAAAAAATATGTATAATTTATACTCTTTTTTTCTTATATGCTTTCTTCAATTAAACAACTTTACACACAATGAATTGGGAAAATCAACTTTTCTGATAGAAACTTATTGGTCCAATGGATACTATTTAATATTTGACCACAATTTTCTAGAAACTTTTTAGTCGATTTATACGCAAAATTTCTTTTCATATCGGTTTTTGTCCAATTTGTTTGTATTTGGTCATATATTTTTTGGTCATGTAGATATCGTGAAATATCGGGAATATTTGAGCGTAAAATACTCCGCAAAATATTTGGAGCTGTAAACGACCAAGGGCAGTGGCGCAGAAGATATAATTTTGAGTTGTATCAGCTCTTTGATGAGCCAGATGTCATAACGTTCATTATAACACAGCGATTTAGATGGGCTGGACACATAATACGATTGTCAGAAAATACGATTGCTAAAAAGCTAACCACAGGAACACCTGTAGGAAAAAGAAGCAAAGGCTGACCGCGAATTAGGTGGTTAGATGGAGTTGAAACCGACTTACGAATATTAAAAATCAGAAGATGGCAACATGTTGCCAAAAACCGAACAGAATAGCGACGAATCTTAGAGCAGGCCAAGATCCACAGAGGATTGTCGAGCTAAATATGATGATGATGAGATATCGTGAAAGCCATCAAAATAAACCGCCTAAGATGGATGGGCCACGTTATGCGGATGGATGTGATCCTGCTGAAATAACCATGCTAAATAAGCCAGTCGAAAGAAGAAAAAGGTGGCGACCTAAACTCATATCCGGACGATGTGCAGGAGGATTTAAGGGAGATTTTAGTAAGGAGATGCAAAAGACAGACACTGGACAGTGAAGGATGGAAGAATGTTCTGAGGCAGGCCAGGGCTCACGAAGGGCTGTAGCGCCAATTGCAGCTATGTACACCGTTGCTCCCGTTTGGCGGCGCTAGTGTAGCTGGGGATCAACAGATTTTTACAGGTATTTAAGCTTGTATGGTATTTTTGATGTAATTATTGTAATTTAATAAATTATGGCAGAAAAATATGGATCTTGGTATGGTTGCGAGTGGAAAAACGAATTGCGGAGAAAAAATACGAGAATTACTGGAAAAAAGAAAGATCTTATCGCAAGGTAAACTATATCAATCATCGTCTTAATGTTTCATTTCTGTATAAAAATAGATATAATTACATTGGTCTAAGTTATATATTGATGTACGTTTGAACTAATATAGTCATGTAATTAGACTGTGGTATTTTTACATACCTACCATACATTGAATACAGTTTTACGCCATCTTAAAACAAAACTCATTATATATCATCATCTTTCATATAAGTATGAAAGATATTGTGTCGCTGTCAGAAGTTTAATGCTCTGTCTGTCCAGCAACCGATTAAGTATTTTACGTTATATTAAAGGTTGGCTGCATATGACATACATTATAATTGTTGACCTGATATTGTGGACTATTCTGTTGGAGAACCAATATCCAACATTTTATGGCCACCAAATGTGGATTGAACTACTCTTGAACAGTCTTCAGCAGTTTCTATAATAAATATCGTCGGCATAAATAACTGTTTTATGTGTCTTTATAAGTTAGAAGAAGGAATACGTATGTCTCAGTCCACAGAAAAGGCTATAGTACGATGCAAAATATTTTTTTATTAGCTATGGTGGAGTCTAAAACAGATGAATATTATTTTTACCAAGCGAAAGTCAATAATGAAATGACCAAAGTACTGACATTCTATGTAAAACTGGTCCTCTACATGGATGGAAGTATTGCTGAAGCATAATATGACTGTATTGCTGGCAAGGGTTACAGATCTGTGTGCAAACATATTGCTGTTATGTGCTATGCTTTATTAAACCATAAAGGATACCTGCACTGAATGAAAGCAAGTTTTGCATTCTAAGTAACGCCAAAGAAAGCCAAACAAATAAATTTTCCAGTTCCAGTGTACAATGTGCAAAAAAAGCAAAAGACAAACTTATGTTATGATCCAAGACCACAAGAATACATTTCTCTTATCAGATTATCTTTGAGAAACCAGTGTCCTGATGTTATTAATGAGCACAAAGGCACAGTACATCACTGAGGCACATTGCACAACAAAATAAATACAATATTTCCTTAGAAATGAATAGATTTGGACAGTTGACGTGACCTCCAACTACACTAGCGCCATCTACGTTGAGCTTTCCAGATTAGCTGCCGTTGATTATATATATATATATATATATATATATATATATATATATATATATATATATATATATATATATATATATATATATATATATATATATATATTGGATTTGAAGTTTCCGCGGGAGCTATATGTGATTTCAGTTGTTTTCCGGGTTTGACTCCGCGTTAAGTAATTTTGGTTTTTAGAAAAATCATTGTTTTGACGACGTTTCGGCAAGGTCACACTTGTCATTGTCAAGTGAGATTAGTTCTGCTTCGTCTTGATGTTTCAGGAGAACTGTGGAATTCCTGCTTCCCTCATTATTTTACATCGAAAGTCATAATACACTATTTGTAGAGGACTGAATTACGTATTAAAAACAAATGTTAAAATTGTTCTACAAATTAAATGTATTGCAAAATTTTGTAAAAATAGAATACATTTTTCAGGCGACTCCTTAAAGTCAGGCCACACGAGGTACAAGAATGTGTATGACATGTTATTGATGATTCTGATATTTGACAATATTTGAATTGTCAATATTTTTATTTTATTAAATTATACACAAATATTAAAATACGTAAATTTTGAAATGTATTCAGTGTGAGAAAAATCGCAATAATGTACTCAGGTAAGAGTGCAAGCACTGCCAGATATTTATTTAACAGGTTAAGCGCCACGGCGGACACGGGTGTCCGATTTGAAATTGGCCGTCTAGGCCACGGCGGACACCGGTGTCCTCTTGACTTTAAATTTTTCATCATTCTCACCCGGCCGGGAGGACACGATTTTATGCTGTTTTAACATAGGAATGTGTCCGCTATGGCCCTGCAATATAAAATGTTGAACCAGGTTGTGTGTAGCAATTCCGATTAGAAAAATCTGGGGTAAAAACTAACTTGATGTCTTTAATTAACTACAGAAATAAGAATACCTATATTTGATAAAAAATCTATTAAACAAATAATCTACACAAATACATATTTATTATAAGTATGTACATACATTTATTTCAAAAAAATTAATGAGTGTTGTGAAATAAATTGAAACATTCCAGACAAAACCTAGGATTATTTTCGCACTGCGCACAGTACGTTGTTACTTTCTTCACTTTGTTTTTATCTATAAGTCCATCCTGTTTTCTCTTGTAACATCCCTTGCAGTATCGTCTATTTTCCCGTGACTTACAGTCTAATTTTGTGAATACGTGAGTATTGAGGTTTACTTTTGCAGGACGTGTACGTTCATAAAAGTGGCCGCCTTCAAATTTTAACAATTCTTCAATAACTGCGTACCGAAAATCAGTGATGGATATGTTGGTCTGTTCGGCCTCCTTGTAGATGAAATGAGCATTAACAATTGAAGTACCTAACAAAATTTCTATAGCTATTTTCTTGTACCAACGGATAGTTCTTCGCAGTGCCGTACTGTAACTCGACATCTGATCGGATAAATCTATGGAGCTTTTACCTGAATTGTAATCAATTACAGCTTTTGGTTTTTGAATATTATTTCCTCGACGTTGAAGTTGGACCATTTCAGCGTTGTGGCAGGTAGATAAAACCAAAACATCTTTTTTGTCATGCCACTTGAGGACACATATTCCTCTTTCATTTTCTCTGGCAATTACTTCACCTTTTTTAAGCTTTTTATTGATTACTTCGGCTGGATTACCCTTGCGATTGTTTCGCAAAGTTCCGAGACAATGGGTGTTGTTATCCAAAAGGATGTGCGCTAATTGAAGGCTTGTATACCAATTATCAGTTACACAGATTCTACCAGACCCTAAAAGATCTCGCGACAATTTTAGCACTACACTGGTAGATGCTGCTAATTCACCTTGCTTCTCTTTGCCTGCATATACACTTAGGTTCCACGTATAACCATTCTGAGTGCATAATTTAAATATTTTAATGCCGTATTTATGACACTTTTGTGGATTATACTGCTTGAAGAGTAAACGTCCCTGAAACGGTACCATGGTTTCATCAATGCAAAATGTTTTCCCTGGTGTAAATATTTTTTGATAGTTGCTTATGATTTGGTCTATAAGTGGTTGCACTTTATACAATCTGTCTCCTTCTGGACGCTTAGAGTTATCTGAGAAGTGCCACATTTTCAGAAGTAACTCAAATCGGTTACGGCTCATAATATTAGAAGCAACATTATTTTTGAACAACCACTTCGTTGACCAATAATCGCGAATGGAATTCATCCGCACTATTCCCATATAGCCCAGTAAACCTAGAAATTGTGCAATTTCTTTTCTAGTGGTTGGCTCCCACGATTGAACACGGGCTTTGTTGGAAATATTCAGGTTTTCCATAACGAAATTAGTTGCATACAGATTTGTTTGGTCAGCCATATCATCCAGGATGTTAGTGTCTACAAGAGCTAAATAATAATCTATTGGCTTAAGACCTTGTAATGCAGCTTGCCAATCAGGATTTATACCACTTCTGTAAGTTTGGTCAAATTTTAAATGATTTCCAACGGTGTCACCCCAAACTGAAACAGACAAATCACGCAAGTTGGTTGCTATTCTGTTTTCAGGTTCTTGTACAACTAGAACCGGGTTATCCTCAATATCAGGTCTTTCTTCTTCTGACGCCGGGGTACGATCTTCAAAATTTGGAATTGCAACATCCTGTGGCTCAAAATTTGGTTCTTGTGCTGGTTCATCTTCGATGCACTTATCTTCAAGTCTGCGACGTTTACTTGCACCATGATTAGATGTGCTGGGCATATCATCAAAATCGAGGTCATCGCTGTCGTATGTATCACTGTCACTACTAATGGGTGGAATAAATTCTGTATCATCATCAGAATTGTAATAAAATGGATCATTTGAGTAATCACCTAAAAGTATGTATTTTATAATAGCTATCAAAAGCAATTAGTACTATTCCATAAAACAAATACAACGAAATAAAAATACTGTATCGATAATATCGATATCATTTGCCATCTAAGTGCTTTTCTTACATTTCTTCTTACATCACTGTATTGTTTTTACGCAATAGCACCATAAAACTGAAAGCATAATTCAACCTCAGGTAAAAAAACTTACTGTCATAGTCGTTTTCTCTCTCCAAAGCTAACTGAACAATTTTTTTAGATCGATTACTCATTATTATTATATCAAAGTTTCTCTTTTCACACAAATACCTTATATCAATGTACAACGCCTTCGAGTCGTTGTAAAACTAAACAATAAACTAACTTGTACCGACAAGCAATAATAAATTGGCGCCGTCGCGTCATCGGACATCTGAATGAATATAGTGTCCGCTCGTTCCGATCGTCTCTGGTGGGCCACGGCGGACACCGGTGACCGCTCTATTTTTTTTTTAAACTGTTAACAAAAAGGTTCAAATAGTGCGGATTCGATTTGAATGTGGATTAAATGTTAAAATTTTGTTAAATATTGCTTTGGTCCAGGGGAACATTTTGGTGAAAAATGCTTGGCGCTTAACCTGTTAACACAAGATATCATAATACACTCCAATCCAATTTCAGGTTATACAACAATTCAAAAATTTCAATACAGTTTTACTGTGATCTTTCCTAATATATAATAATTTATGATAATTTCTAAACATAAAACATAGAACAAATGTTCAAACTATAAGCCATTTTGTACTAAGCAGTATCCCACTCGATTATAAAATTCTCGTCTTAACATTAGCCAGAATGCGTGACGTTATTTTTGCACACTCTTCAATAATTCGCATGTTTAATGATTCAATATCTATAAATTTATTATGCATCAATAAAACATTTTTATTATTGCAACTTTCTTCTCAACTAAATACATTTTTTAATCAACTATATTGTTTTTTAAACAATAAATCACAAGAAAAAAATTTTTGAAATTCAAATATTGTTAAATATCAGAAACCTAAATATTACCAAACGGTAATATTTATGTCACTGGAGGCTCTGTATGTCACTGGAGCGGTGATATCAATCGTTTTGTTGTGCAAATAGCAATCGAGGGTGTATGCGTGGAGGATGGATGGAAATATAGTTGAGAATAAGAGAGAAATAATGATAGTGGAGGCAGAAAGAATAGGCGAATGATTGCATCTGAGGCCGTGGTGAGAATGTAAGTTTAGAATACTAGGCTACTTCCTGACGCAGGTTCTGACCGGACATGGTCGTTTTGGCACCTTCACAAATAGAATAGGCAGACTGTACTGTTTGTGGGGTACCCGACGTTCCCGCCCACATTTTTAACTGCCAGAGATGGGCAAATAAGAGGGGAGATTTTAGCCGAAATACGGTTAATCCGGCACTACCCTGGGATCTTCTGGCTTAGTATCCCACTCGGCCGAAATATGTCAGGTTGTCTTGCCGTGAGATGTCTAAAAAAGATTTCCTCTACTGCCAGAATTCAATGGATACCTTCTTAGACTCTTACTGGAATCTGACAATACGGCAATTAAAAAAACGTTCAGGGAAATTGTCTCCCTTACAGTACTGAGAACTGTGTAGGACTACACTATCTTGCTGAAAAATCCGTAAACATTTGAAATGATAAAATATTTTTTCTTGATTATAATAAAATTTAAAAAAAGACTATCGAAACCATATAATTAAGGAACAATTTTTATTAGTTGTTGGTTATATAATTTTTTTTTTCGAATTCAGTTAGTTTTTATATCAAAAGTAAAGTCTAGAAAATTGTTTAAGTACAAGTGACTAGATGAGAACAGACCAAAATTATGATATACGGATAAATAATTTTGTATATTATGAAGCTATGAAATAATAAGTGTAAAAGGTCTGTATGGTAGTATAAAAGAATATCCCAAAAGTATCATTCACTGTGAAACCAAAAATATGAAATTGAATAAGTATTAAAAGGAGAGTAGAATAAAAATCTAGTAATGAATATTTTTACGTATTTTAGGCGTGATCAAGCGTAGAAGCCCCCACCAACAATACATACACTACACTACATATTCGGAGTACTCATGGACCCGGACGATGGTATCACCTCTGCTGTCATCCATCTCCCAGCGCCGCTCCTACGGTGCTATAACTCCTGATTACATATAGTCCAATACTAGGACTCTTTAAGTATTGTTAGTTCGAAATAATATACCAATTTAATGTTTTCTGGCTAAATTTTTGGTAGCTAAAGTGATACGTGGCAACTCCAAATATGTCGAGTGTCTTATTTTTTTTTACTTATTAGGTTTATTTACATTTCCCATGATATTAGTGGCCATTTTGGTAACGGTATGACATACTTTATACGATAGCAAGATTGGATATTATTAGAAAGTATACTAATGGTGGTGACATTGTATCACTTGCAACTCTATGATCTACCATATCGTTTAATGATGCAATTATAGGACTTTTCATCAGCGGCCATGTTTTTCGTAGAGACAGATTTTATACTTTATACGTAGTGGTTTATTAAATTTATAAAGAAATATTTGTGAAATAAATATTTTTTATTTAATAAAGAATTACATATTCCATAACAACTTTTTGTACATGTATCATAATAATAATCGATTAAAAAATTGATTTGCTAATTGTGGCACTTTATTTTTTTCAATAACTAGATTTTCTTTATTATTTTTTATATTAATTATCTATATTATTTGTATTACTAACCTAACCTGTTTGTTTACAAAATGTCTGTTCGAAAAAAAAAATGGCTGACACTATTTTTTGATGAAAAGTCCTGTTGGCCAAAATAATGGCATCTGTCTAAAATGGCATCTTTCACTTAGAATGTGATATTTTTTAATACTTTAATAGAGTCTGTTTATTTTTATCGGCAGTTATTTCGAATTAAATTTAAAATAAATATTTTTTCTAATTATGCTCATATTTTAATACCAAGAAGGCATTTTTTGGTATATTCCTTAAAAATAATTATAATTCATACAAATGCCATAATCTTTAACCCTCCAGTACACGCGCTCTATTTTCTATTTTCTTTGTTTTAATGAGGTTTTAATAATACCACTGCAATCTCTAATTGGCTTTACATATTTTATTAGTAAAATGTACAATAAAGTAAAAAATAAATAAAAAAAAAGAATAAAAATTAAAAAACAAATACTATAAATCAAAGTTACCTATAACCAAACATTACAAACCAAACTACGTTCTATAATATAATAAATACAATATCTTAATCTGATTCAGACTGCATGTTCTATTTTATATCAGCACAATGTTCACATATTTGCTTTAAATGTCCTGGGCAAGTCCACTGATCACAGCTGCTGCACCATTTTCTTGTACTCTTATTCCTTGTTCTTACACAAATATGACAACGCTTAAGGACCGGAGATCGATTCGGAACTTCTTTAGGAGTTTCCTTATTTATATTTAAATGTAATTTAATTTAATCTTTTATTTCTGTAGAAGTGTGTGTTGTTTAGTCGCCTTAACATCAGTGGTTTTATTAACTCAAACGAAATGTCCTGAGGAAAAGTGCTTCTTAAGAGTGATGCAGTGACATTATTAACCTTATACAGGGAAAATGTATTAATTCCTGATACATTTAATAAATCAAAGAACACGGTGAGTGGCCAACGCCGAGAGTTTCTGCAAACATTATATTGTGCATACAACTGGTCAACCAGATCCACACCAAATTTTGTTTTGTTGTAATCCGTTATTATTTGGGGTTTGTTCTTGTTTTCTGTTTCAGGATCAATACTGTCATCATGGTGAATGGAAGAAACGGCTAATACGACCTTATTTTTTGGAACATACGTTACCAAGATACATTTTTCTTGGAGGAATCCGAATAGTGAAGAACGTATGTCTCTGTTTTTAGACATTATAAATTCTTGTGGTACCTCCCTCTTATTTTTAAGAAATGTACCAACAATAGTTAATCGCTTTTAAAGCAATTCCATGACCAAACTGACAAACCAGTTATCCATGGTTACATTTCTGCCTGTTCCTTCTATGGGGTTAACCATTCTTTAAACAACCTCTGCGCTACTCCAATCAGTTTCAAAAGGACCAGGTGGTTGTGTTCCACAATAAATCTCCATATTATAGGTATATGCAATATGCATATTTGCTATCTACTAACGCAAATATTTTTATACCATATTTTTTTCCTAAAAGCAAGTAATTGCTCGTCAACTGTTAAATATTCTGAAGGTGAAAAATTTTTTTGAAAATTTTCAATAAAAAGTGCAAAAATGTCGTATAGGAGCCGAAAAATGCCGAAAACGTATAGGAGCAAGTATATCCAGCTCTCTCCTTTGTCGTCTAAAATTAAAGTCGTCAAACCTCAAACATCTCAGTAGAAATCGAAAACGATTTAAAGACATTGTCAAGTAAATAGCTTCAACACCAGTACCTTTTTTATTATCTCACATTTGCAAAACGTTTAGTCTCCCAGACTTTAGAACACCCAAATCCCCATATCAAACATGTCCCCAAATCTCTTCCACGTCGGTCATTTTAGCATCTCTGTAGCGTTGAAAATTCACTCTTATCTTCTCAATATAGATGTTGGTACAACGCGTAATTTTTTTGACGATATTATCATCTAGCATACATTGGAAGAATTCAAACTGGGTTTTTGCGTTTCTAGCTTCTCTTATTGGTCCTGGTGACTTCAAAAAAATATTTCTTGAACTAGGCGCAGGACACATTTTACTCCTTTTTTGATTTTTTGTCTTTGCCATATAGTATTTTGAAATTTTTTTTTTCGTCTTCTTCCCCTTGAACCTCTTCATCACAGTCTTGTTCCGATTCTTGTTCAGACATGGTACATTATTGTTCTAGAAGATCATCAGATACATATTGCTTAACATTATTATTCCAACATTATTATTTCCATGTTTGTTCTCGTATTTTATTATTCCATTCCATCAGCATTTTTTCAAAATTAGTGTCGCCGAATCTTACTTTTTTTTGGTCGGGACATTGCTCATAACTAAAACAAAAATAATAAAAACAGGTGTGGCAGTCCAGTGGAACTGCCGGTAGAAGTTATACTTCTATACACGCGTTCGCCGTTACAAATTTATATGGGAGTCAATCTGTACAATCATTACATATGTAATGCTAGAGGTAACAGAGAGCAGAAAGAGAAAAATAATTAGGTATATAGGTATATGGTGCATCGTTTGCTGTTTATAAACATTTGACCTGTGATAGGAGTATAGTAAATGAAGGATTGAATCAATATTTTGATGAAAATGTATATTTTTATTTTCATTTATGTATGAAAGGAGTTGAATTATAAAAAAATTTTTACATATTCTCTGCAGTAAAATTTATTGTTTATTTTGTTATTTATATAAAAATACAATACAATAAACTGCAACATAAATCAATATAATAATACAATGCAAATTAAAATGCAATATTCATAAGTATTTAAAAATGAAAATATACATAACTTACTTACGCATATGTTTAATTTACCATGATAATAATATTAATAAAATAAAAATATTGTTTCGTGATACAACTGTCAGTTTGTCTGACATTGACAGATACAAAATTTAATTGTTGTTTGTTGTGTATATAAGTACACATTTGAACTTTCTTGAGATATTTACAAGTTTTAATTTATAATTTAACATGCCTAACGAGACTCAAGACAGATCTGAACGGAATGGTAAAATAATAATAAATGTTAAATATATTTACAAAAGGAACATTTTTATTCTGGGGAGAGAAAATATGTCTTCTGTTTCTGTCTTACCTATATCTTACATATGTAACGATTAATGATTTTGCCGATTCACTCCCGTACAAATTTCCAACGTCGAACGCGCGTATAGAAGTATAACTTCAAAAAATAAACATTTGTTACTCTTTTTCATGAAGAAAACTTACCTCAACCGCCGTATACAAAATATAATTTTAGTTTAGGGCTAGTAAGTACATGGGATGATTACAATGGTAACAGAACACACTCTATTTCTTATACCTACATACATCAAGCGACAGTTACATACTAAAACAGTTCCTTGTACTATGCCCTGAAGGAGATAGGCAACTTTATATACAGTATAGTCGGAATAGCAATATAAAATTCAATGGATTACGTATGTAATCCGCGCGTGTACTGGAGGGTTAACATGAAAATGGAGTTCGATTAAAAGTACATAAATATAGACTCTATTTCTCAAAGAGATGTAACAAAAAATTGATCGAAATGTAAGATTAGATGCTCATCGTGACTCTTTGAGATTAAAGAGTTTTCCTTGTAATGCCAAAACTGTTACTAAAACCTTAATATTAAAGAAATTTTTATGAATATCCAAATTCGAATCTCAATTAACTGCTAGCGTGAAATTATTGTCGCATAATTCACAAGAAGTTTTGAAAACCAAATGTTATTTATTAGAAAACTTAAGACACTGAAAAGTTTTTCTAGGTAATATGTTTACGACTACGGAAAAAACATTGTATAAATTTATATAACAGAAATTAAATATATGTTTAGTATTAAGAGATAACTGTTGTAAATTGTACCGTCAAAGGAAGAAACATGGTGAAGATGATATGAAAAAATTACTTTTAATGCAATTTTTTCCTTGGATGTTGCCTTATTTCTTTTTCTAGAAAGATATTCATTGTGTGAGATTTTCTTCTCTAAGATTCTCGTTTAAATTTATCTTCTTCTTTAAGTGTCCGTCTATGACGGTTCATGTGGTCGTTCCGATAAAAGGTGCTACCTCTATGACACAACCATACACCCCTTAAATTATACGTGATATTATTTTCCATATAGTTTTTAGTCAGTTCTATGAATAAGTTTCTCACCTTAAAACAATCGAATCCATGACCAAATTTTTATCTTATTTTTTAGTCGACTCAATGATCAAAGAAAATTCAAATTTTTCTTTGATCATTGAAAAGATAGTATCCATCATTACAATTTACCTAAAAGACCTATTAAAATAAAAGATTACATTGGTATTAGGACAAACCAGGGACACACTCTTCTCGCCTAGGGACCTATCAAGGGATCGATTTATATAAGACACAACAACACTAGATCACGGAGAGGAAAATTTTTTCTTGATAAAGGCTTTTTGGTTGAATATGTTAGCAAACTGTCCATTTCTGAAGCTTTTTGGATGACCCTAGACGAAATCTTAAGTTTTGTCATTTTTCTTGATTCTCTGCACCATTGTCTTTAGCGATACTCGTGTTCGTTTTTATGATAGAAACTTTTTATTCCTGTGCTTATTGGTCTATTTTAAAATGAAATTATTTTAGGTGTTTGTGGTGGATTCAAGATACTTTTTTTTCGATACTTTGTAATCGTTTTTATAAACTTATAGTAATTTTGCGATTCTAAAAGCAAATTTTCTCTTTACCAGGTCTATGAATAATTTTTCCCTTATCTATTTTTAGTCGACCCTAGACTAATCCGTTTACGGTCTTTTTGTTAAATCCTAAAGCAAACCTTCCCCCCCCCCTTCTCAATGTGTTTGGCTCGATTATATTATAATTTCTCATTCTCAAGCTTTTTGTTCTTTTTATAGGTCATTTTTTTCTGTTGCTTCTTGGTTGATCCCGTGAGAAATATTTCTTTTAACTACTTGAAGGATTCTGTGGTCCAAATTATTCTACCCGAAGCTTTTTGGTAGATTCATTCAAATATTTCTTTCAGAATGTGTTCATTGATTCTATAATTCTCATTCTGACAATAATGTTTTTATTTATGTGGATTTTACCGTTACCACTATCGCTTAAATTATACTTAAAATAAATTATATCATCATTGGTGTTTTGGAGGGCCTCATGTTAAAGTATCTTTATTGAATAGAGATAGAAAAAAAATTCCGAAGTGATTAATTCTCATATTACATTAGGCGTATATTTTTTAAAAGATTAGTTTATGTAGAAAGAGTTCACTCCTGTATTTGTCCAAAACTTAATATGTCAATATGTACCAACGGTTTTGATTTCAATTTCTTACATTTTCAATATCAAATTTTATGGGGTCCCGGACAATTGCCCGAAAGACAATTCCGCGAATGGACAATTGCCCGAATAGACAATTGGCAGAAAAACAATTGCC